TACCCCCCACGGGAACACATTAAACAGACTTTAATGCATTCCTATGGGGTTTTTTGTTCCGTTTAGCGATGTTTCCGGATAGCGATGTTAATCCTGGAACAGATTACCGTCGCTATGCGGGACACCACTGCATTTCGTCCTCCCTTCCTCTTCTCTTTCTTTCTCATAAGTATTAATGAATTGCTTTGCTGCCAACCAGGGGGAGCACAGAGCAATCTACAATAAGATGACAAAATAAGAACAAAGCAGAAACCAAAGGTTCTTTAGAAAGAGATGAAAAATTAAAAGACTGTTTTAAAGGTCAAACTGGCAAAATAAGATTTGACTCTTTATGACACCGTATTTGTAAACTGCAAAACACTTGATGGAATAAAAGGGGGGGGGAGATGTTCAAAGAACATATTAAATTATAATGTAACATACTGTAGTTGTTTCCAAATGATGTATTGTACATGAAAGAGATTTGCAGATGGGTGCTGGATAAATAGCAATAAGATGTTGGAGACAACATGTAGGTGGCTGGTAGACAAAAATTAGATTTCCATTAAAGGATCTTCTTTGGAAATTACTGACATAACCTAAATACAATCTTAAACACATCATTCTACCTACCTACCCTGGCAATGGAAATAAGTACTACTTTCAATAGAGAATACTGCAGATACGAGTGTTCTTTCAGACACTGACTGCTAATTAACCTCCATCATTTAAATGAAAGTTTTTTGTAAGATCAGAGTGGTTCCACTATGTCTGTTTTACAATATATGGGCTCATTTACAATATCTAGAAGAAAGTATGGTGATCTCTTCAAAGAACAATCATTCAGTAGTTTTAATTAAATACTTAGCATATATTTAGTGCTTATCATGTCCAGGAATGATTAACTTCATAGAGTGAACATATCATCACTTGTCCCTGGGTGCTAAATCACTAATCCTGTCCATTATAAGATGCAGACAGGGAAGTATTTTGTGCTGAATAGAACAGCAGGCTTCATATCCCCACTTGCCCAGATCCTCATTAAGGTTTGTTAAGTTCACCTACCTTTTAGAACCACCAAACCCACGTAGAACATAAATAGAGTTTTGCTGCATCAGACCAGGGACCCATCTAGTCTAGCATTCTGTTCTCACGAGGGCAAACCAAGATGGCCATGAGAAGCCCACCAGCAAGTCACATATACAACAACTTTCTCCTGTTAGTGTTCCATGCTACTTCCCAGTATACCACACCTGGAAGTATCAGATGGCTAGGTCAGAAGAGGAAGTGCAGGACCTTACAACTAAGGAAGAATAGAAGGGAAATAGTTGGAAATGTTGAAAAATAGGACACATTTCCTGTATGACAAAGTCATTTGTCCACAATAAAACAAAAAATAAATGCAAGTACAGCAGCAGATCACAGGAAGGACTGGAATGACAAGCAATACAAACATGATAAAGATCTTTCACATAGCCTTTTATCTAACCTAAGCCTAATTTTTCAACCTATATGCAAAATCTATTTATCCCTAATTCTATTTATCTCTTCACTCATTACAGCCTCATTGTTCATGACAACACTCTTTTATCTACCATCACTCATCTCCTTTTATACATGTTCGGCCGGCTCCCTCTTGGGCTAAGGAACAGAATAAAAAAAAGGATAGAATTAGACAGGCATTTCTCTAGTGGTTTAATCTGGTTTGGAGACAGGCTAGTTTATTCCTTTTTTCAGTAAACACATAACATACATACCATTGCAAACCAGTCCACTCTGACTGATGCTTACCTCCATTTTTCTGAATCCCAGTCAGGGGCTGCTGATTTTTTTTTAGTGCAGGTAGGATCACTCGGTTTTGAGAAATGGAATGTTTCCATTACATTTACCTTTGGAGGGCAAGGGAAAGGAGGTTTTGCATTTCTTTTAAATTGTTACTAATGTAGTAGTGATGCTTTGATTTTTTAAAAGCCCTGTCAAAGCATTATTGATGTGCTAGTCTACTGAGTAAAGCAGCTCATTGCTCCTCTGCTTAAATGTACCAGGCTCTTCTACCTATTGTTTTTGCCTGGTGCTTCAATTTGTGCTCTTCCCTAGAAGGACTTCAGAGGGAAAAGCTGTCAAGGAAAACATTCCTTGGGCTATCAGGTGGGGGGCAGGGCAGGCATACACACAGTAATTTCTAGCTGTGACGATCAGAACAGTCCAGAAAATAATTTTATAAGTATCAAAAATCTTATCAATATATTCTGCTATCTATTCTTATCACTGGATTTATCAACAGGATACAAAGGTATAATTAATACAAAAGAAAACATGCCACACATTTTGGGATTAAAAATATGCCCTAAATAAAATTAGCTTCTTTGTGTGAGAAAAACTAAGGTGTAAGTAATCACCCAATGTGGTGTAGTGGACAGAGTGGCAGACTAGGACTCTGGAGACCAGGGTTCAATTCTCCACTTGGTCATAGAAATTTACAGGAAAATCAGAACAGATAAAATCTCTCCTTGAATATCTGACTTGAAAACTTCGTTGGGGTCACTATAACCTGGTTGTATGGTGGCTCATCAACTAACTAGCTAAGCATGTGAAATTTATTTCCTTAGGAATTCAGAAAAGGTCTTATCTGACAGATAAGGCCTAGATGTTAATAATAATTTATTGTCATCGTAAGTATATACACAGTATACCCATACAACGAAATTCACAGACACTTAGGGCACAGCACTCTTGAGAGTTAAAGAAACAGAAAAGGCATAAGCATATGTACTTAAGAAATAAATAAAACAGTCAGAAACTCCATGACAGCAGTCTCCTTCTGTTTCTTTTTGTTCTTCAGTTCCTCGTCCTGCTCCCAGAGATTGGATGCCATTGTAGCTATCTTGACACTGGATGCAACATTTATAAATGCCATGTTGCATTGAAACCAATCCCCCTAATTCTTTAAGACAAAACGATGTTCTCCTTTCTCCATCTTTTTCCCCACTTAACTGATCAGCTGCAACAACTAGTATATTTTGTTTTCCACTACATGGTAAAAGTATTCCTGCCTTCAGCACTTCATGTATTTGATGATTCCTTGGAATTTATTCATTTGTTTTGTTGGTCACTCTCTCAGTTGAAGAACTTCTTAGTATCCTACCATAAAAACACATTTCAAATCATTCTTATCTTTTTTTAACAATTGCCTCTCTTAAGTCCACAATCCCATGCCATTCTGGAAGTTTAAACCTATTTTTCTATTTACTTAAGAAATAAAGAATAAACTTCAAGGTGGAGTACAATGATATAAACGAAAGCAAGGGGTTTTTGGTTTGTTTGTCCATTTGTTACTATATCATTATGAAGATGCCTGAATAAAGGATAGATTTGGGATTGTCTTTAAAAAGAATAAGCTAGATAGCATATTCTAAAATAATGTGGGAGGCATCGCGATTGGTAATTGTTGCTTACAGATTCATGTGTGGGCACATCATTTTAAAGACCTTGATGAGTTGAGTTCAGAAATGTACATGCTAAACCATGCCATAATTTTATGGATGGGGAAGGCTCCAAATATTCATTATTCAGGAGCTGTGCTGGCTAGGAGACTCTGGGAGTTGATAAACTGAATGAGTAAAATGATGATGAAAGAGAGACCAGTGCAAAAGAGAGAATTGGGTGCACAGAGGAGAGGACACTCGGGAGAGAGTGAGATTAATGGAACTTTAACCTGTATGAAACCAGGTCAGTTAACTAGTGTAAATAACAAAATATAAAAATAATATTAAAAATTGTTTTCAAAACATAAAAGGGACATTCCCAAGCATAAAGACCTTTCTATCCTGTGCCAACCAAATGCTTAACAGGCAGCTTCTAGCAGCAAGCCACATGGTACAGTGGTTAATCTGCAGTAATGCAGCCAAGTCTCTGCTTATTACCTGTGTTCCACCCTGACGAGTTCAGGTAGCCTTCCACCCTTCTGAGGTTGGTAAAATAAGTACCTACAGTAAAATGTTGCCCCGAAATTAAGAGAGGGTCCTATATTTTTGGTCCCAAAAATGCATTAGGTCTTCTTTTCAGGGGATGTTTCATTTTGTTCATGTATAACAATCTATATTTAATCAAATACAGTCAATTCATCTTCTTCTGGTTGCTGCACAATGGTGGAGGGCAAGGTTTCACTTAAGTGGGGCTTATTTTTGGGGTAAGGCTTATATTACGAGCATCCTGATAAATTATATTAGGTCTTATTTTTGGGGAAACGGGGTAGCTCAATGTTCAGAAAATGTTCCTTACAGTTTATACTGTAAACTACCCGGAGAGTTCTCTAGCACTATGGGGCAGTATGTAAGTGAAAACAATAAATAAACAAATATAATAATAGCATCCCTCCTCAACAACCTCCATTTATTATGGCAGAAAATTTCATGAGTCAGGACACCCATTATCAAATATTAGGGGTGATATCTGACGATTTTTATTCAGAAATTTGGGTTGAGGACTGCATGATAAACAGAAATCACTACATTCATAAAATTAACACATCTAGCGCCGTTTTTCTTTTTAAACAAAGCAAAAAATACCTAGTAATTTTTCTTTGTTCAAGCCACACGCACCTATTTCACCACCACACCATACCACGTATGCCACTCAGCTCTGCTAAGGCAATATTGCATACTTGCTGCTTCAATAAAACTGGAAGATACCGATTTGACATATAACCAATAGGCGTGTAAAAATCCACCATTTTTCTATCTCTGTGGCTCTACACACACACACCTCGGCAAGTTTCCAGATTACTTTCTATCCATAAGCATCGTTACGGGTTGAGAGGCAGACAACATCAAGATCATTAATCCAAATAAAACCCAGTTTGCCACTCTTCCCACGCGGTCATAGCCCTTCACTCTTCCCCAACGCGCAGGCGCAAAATTTGGCTTCTAATTGGCCGTTTACGACAACCCTTGCGAATACTATCGCTAAAATCGGGAGCGTAGCTTTCGGCGCAGGCGCAATGAGAGAATACCGAGTGACCCCGGAAGAGAATAGAGGGAGTGAAAGGTCAGGGTGGGGGGGAACTAGTAAGGAGAAAGCATGGCAGGTTCCAGTGGCAAAGAGAAAAGGCAGCAAAAAGAGCGAAGCGATGATCCGAAGGCGAGCGCGCCTGGTGGCTCCGAAGAGGGCCAAGGGACTCCTCCCGAGCAGAGCCAGGTTGCGTTTCCGCCGACGTTCAGTGTCTCCGAAATTAAAAACAAGCAGCGGCGTCATTTCATGTTCCTTCGTTGGAAGCAGCAGCAGAGGAAGGTGCGAGGGCAGCAGTTCCCCCCCCACACACACACACATACACTCGGGAGGCCTTTCTTTGGGCGGGTGGGGGAGGTCGGAGAGGCCCAGGGATCGACCGATGGAGCTGTGCCCGTATAGTGGAAACGAAAGGCTGGGGTGGAGGCAGGGATTTGTGTCTCTGAAGAGACGAGAAGTGTTCGTGAAATACTGTACGGAGAGGCGGGTGGAGAGATGTAACAATGTTCAAGGAAATGCCCTGTGTGCTTTCAGGTACTGTATTTAAAAAGCACATGGGACAGCTTGGGAGTTGGTGCGTTTTGTTTTAGAGTTTGATTTCTTGGCGCTGGCATCATACCTCAGCAGATTCATTAAGGATAGTATTCTATTTATACTACTGTAGTGTCTTTTGTGTGGGACAGCCCTTGATGATTGCATGGATGTTGCAGGAAGTGTAATACTGTATCTGGCATCTGCACTGCTGGCCGTGTGGTGTAGCAGCCAGTAGTGGTTGAAATGCCCTGGTTCAAATGCCCATGCAGCCATGGGAACTTCCTGGCAGATGGCAGTAATAAACCACTCATTGAACAGGTCACATAGCATGAAAACCCTATTAGGGTGACTGTATGGTCATAATACACAGCTTACTCACAGACGCCATGTACCATGAACTCTTAAAGAAGTGCACTGACTGCTGGTATGCTTTTGGCCTGGGTTCAAGCTGTTGACTGATTTGTAAAAGTTTTGGATATAGGTATCTCTGAGGGCTCACATCTTCTGTTATATATTTGCCCAATGATTAAACTCTGTCCTACCATTGAGAGCACAGAATGGTATGATTGGTCACTTTTCTGCTGTTCTTAGTACCACAGTTTACCAATATGCTTTGTCTCCCCCCCCCCAACCCCATGTCCTTTGTCCTCCAGGAGAAAATAGCCATTAAAAAAAAGAGGAAAAAAGAGCGAGAAGCACTTGGAGACAAGGTAAAGAGGAAACATTTAGGATTGAGTTAATGTTCTTTTCATTAATAAAAGTGCATTATTTGGTGTACTGTTAATCAGCTTTTTTAAACAATTCATCTTGCCTCTTATATATTTGGGAAAAACAACATGATATGATCTTGCTTTATATAGAAAGTGATTTGCATCACACAAGATGTGCTACATGTAGCCCTTGGCCTGTGAGATTCTCTTCCCCTAGCAACATTTAAATATGGATTTATGATTGTTTTTAGAAATGGGGACAGGTGGACATAATGAGGGCCCAGCCCCATGGGGCCAGATGGTCCACTCACCAATCTGCTGCTGTTGCGGGCACTGCAGAGCCTTTCAGTGGCTCTGGAGATCACGATTGGCTCGCTACTCTTGGCAGGAGGCGGGATAAGAAGCCTCTCTGCTAGCTTGAAGACTGGCTTGCCAGATGCGATCTCTGGAGCCATTGGAAGGCTCTGCGGCGGCTGCAGCGGATAGGTGAGTGGACCATCTAGCTCCATGGGGCTGTTTCTTAGCAGTCTTTCAGTTTGATAACTACTTGAAATTATTCTGATTGTATGGAGCACTTCTTAGTGATCCATAAACCTGTTGAAATCAGTGAGACTTAATTTATCACTTACCTCTTAAGTCTGAATCGAATCCACTATTTTGTGTTAACAATTTAGTGTACAGCAGTATCTCTGTGCTTACCTGCAGCATAACTATCTGAAATTAAGTCTTGTGTAAATAAGTAATGGCTGGTGAGGATTCTGTAATTTACAATGACCAGAATTCTGTTGCAGTTATGCTTTACAGAAGAGTAATATAACTTGCAGTGGCAAATTGATCCTAGTCATTAGGTTGCCAGTTGGGTTTCCTATCATCTACCAGGTGTGTGACTTGGTGCATGACCAGGAATCCAAACAGTGACTCTTTGACTAGTGGTAGTTTGCCACACTGAGTTATTGCCCTTGGGCCAGTGTAAGTAAGCAGGAGGATTTTGGCCCATGTATCTGACAGCATCAGCACTATTTTACTGGATCATTTATTTATTGGTCAGAAAGAAATCCATCTATTTCAGTATGTTAACTTTTTAATTTTTTTTACAGGCACCACCAAAGCCTGTACCAAAGACAATTGAAAACCAGCGTGTGTACGATGAAACTACTGTTGATCCAAATGATGAAGAGGTAGTTATTCTTGAAAAACTTTTTAAGAATCATGGATCTCAATTGGTGGGACCTGTTTCTTTAAAATTATCAAAGGTTATATTTTTATAATATAAGATTTTTCTCAGCAAAAAGTCTTCTGTTCAGTTTATTATATTAATGGTTGCAAGGATATTATGCGATCTTGTTTGTTTTATACCCCGCCTATCTGGACTACTCGTCCACTCTAGGCGGCTTACAATATAGGATAAAACAATAAACTCAAGAATGTGCATAGTCGTTCAATAACAATTGTAATAAAGTAGAAGAAAAAATAAAGGAAAATAGAAAGAAATCAGGTATTGACTGGAGGGAAGGCCTGGATGTATAACCATGTTTTTAATTGGGTTTTAAAGATTCTCAGCGTAGGTGCTGTGCGAATCTCTGGAGGGAGGTTGCTCCATAGGTGAGGAGCCACCGCCGAGAAGGCCCGGTTTCGTGTCTTCTCCTTCCGGGCCACTCTCAGCATCAGGCTCCTCAGCCTCACCTCCTGACTCGCACGGGCGATCCGGGCAGACCTTGGTGGGAGCAGGCATTCCGCCAAGTATCGAGGTCCTAAACCGGTTAGGGCCTTATAAGTAAGCATTAAAACTTTGAAGTCGACACGGAAATGAATGGGCAGCCAATGCAGTGCGGCCAGAGTTGGAGCAATGTGTTGGTATTTTCTCACTCCAGTAAGGAGTCTGGCCCCTGCATTCTGCACCACCTGAAGTTTGCGCATCAGCCTCAAAGGCAGCCCCACGTTAAGCGTGTTACAGTGGTCTATTCTTGAGATTACGATTGCAAATGATATAAAAAACAGGAGAGCTCCTGCTGGACCGAATAAATAATGCTGAGCTGCATGGACAAATTGTGTAATCTGATGTAAGATAGCTTTTCTGCTTCCATCTTGAAACATACCTGAAGCAGTAGCCTTAAAAGAGAAACAGTGTCTATGTTGTTGACCGTTTACAAAACTTGGTATCTGAGATTTGTATCAAATAGATCTTCTGTTGGGTGGCATAAGAAACATTGTAATTAGGAGTTTCCAGAGGAGAAGGGTACTGTAACTGTGGTAATCTGTTGTACACAAAACTCGTTGTATACAAGTTTTCCATACTGATACCATTAAAAGCACAGCTTGCTAAATTTACAAGTGTTAGTTGCTATTAAAAACAGGAGTTTTGCCGGGTCGCCATTAAGCCAAGTAGTTGAAGGGACAGGAATGTTTGTTTATCTTAATGGAGCAAATAGTTGTACAAGAGGTGGAATCAGAAAAACAAACCATCAGGCCTTACTTCCATATACTTTACGTTGGTTCTTTTATTAATGGTCTTCATGTGATGAAGACAAGAAAACCTACTACAATGAATTGATACCACCATGTGTTAGTCCAATGGTTCTTAACCTTTGTTACTCGGATGTTTTTGAACTGCAACTCTCAGAAACCCCAGCCAGCACAGTTGGTGATGAAGGTTTCTGGGAGTTGCAGTCCAAAACTCCTGAGCAACCCATGTGTTAGTCCACTGTAGTAGGTTTTGCCAACCCAAGGTTAAGAACCAGTGTGTTAGTCCACTGTAGTAGGTTTTGTTGCTTAAAAGTGGTTTGTGGCACCTTTTGTAGTAACACTTAGACATTTGCATGAAATATGTTGTTAATCTCTTTGCCACGAAACTCTTTGTCAAGAAATCATAAATATAAAAGTGTTGGGTCTTCACTCTCCCAAACCGATGGTCCTACAACAGTGTGTTAGTGTAATTTCATCTGTTAATCATGATTATGCATTTCTAGGTTATTTTGGATGAAGCTACAGATGAATTTGCACCCTACTTCAATAGGCAGACTGTTCCAAAGATTCTTATCACGACATCTGACAGACCTCGTGGGGTAAAATCATGCAATTTAATATGTGTAATAAAAGCTTATTTCATTTAGTTGATGACGTGGGAAGTATAATTCATTAGAACTTATTTATTTATTGGATATAGACCTATTAATGTTTGGTAAACCTGTGTGGACAAATATTCAATAACCACAAATGTAGGAAAACTTGCTTTTTTTCTTGAGAGTCTGGCAGAATTTTATGCCGGACAAATACCACTGTATTTCTTCCTTTCTTTTTGCATTTTTTTAAATTTAGCAACTGTATCATGAGTGGGAGAAATGAAAACTTTTGTCAATTGATCTTCTCTGCCACGGTTGAGTATCTTGGTCTAGTTTTCCATGAATTATGGAAAGCGGCAAAAGGCTAATTATTTTGGTTATTCTTCGTAGTCCAAGTGGTTCTAGAAGCTGTGCCCTGTAGCTGACAAAGGATTCTCCCTTCTCCCTCTCAAGCTACGCTAAACCTTTTTTTTTTAAAGTCCTTATATTGGTGCCAAGCCTTTTTAAAAGCTTTATGGCTCCACTGTAGCAGCATTTAAAGAAAGAGCATTCCTGGGGAGCAAAGGACCAATCCTTGTGTACGAGCGCTTTGGGAAAATGTAATAAGGCTTTTAAAAAGATCTGTTGACACTCATGAAATCTTTTAAATGTCTAATTACTAGCTGAAGGGGCAGCATAAAGGATTAATTAGGCATTCTTTTCTTAGAGTTAAATTGATATACAAAGAAAGGAACATGTTAGTCCAGCCCCTCTCTATCACTGCTCTCCAAAAGAACCTTGTGTATGTGTTGAGTGACCTTGTGTGATTCTGAAGCCTGATTTTCCAGGGTTCTGACTTGCATAAGTTGGAAAGTCAAAATTTTGACCATCATGACCCAAGAAACCCACCTTCTTCACAGGTTTAAAATGACAGTACACTGCAATTTTGACATATCCTGAAGACTGAGGCATGGTGACCAGTAGGCTTATAATGCCTTATATTAAATAATACCACCTAAATCTTGCATAAGTCTCTTTTTTTTCTAGAGAACTGTGAGGTTCTGTGAACAATTATCAACATGTATTCCAAATTCACACGTTTACTATCGAAGAGGACTGGCTCTGAAAAGAATTATTCCACAGTGCATCTCAAGGGACTTCACAGATCTGATTGTTATCAATGAAGATCGCAAAGTGCCAAGTATCCTTTGCAAATAAAAGACTCTGTGTTGCAGTATTTAAAGTAAATACTACTGAGGAGCAAAAATTTTAATACTGCTGCATTGCAAGAAATAACAGCAGCTGAGAGTTCTTGGTTGTTTGAGATATATAGAGAAAAGTGTTTTACTGTTGTACTGAGTTACCTTTAAGAATTCATGTTAGGTTTCTACAAAAATTAACATTTTTATGATTTGTTTTTGTTACATATCTGACTGCAGACATCTTTTGATTTAAATCATATTGATTTAAATGACCATTTAAATCATGATTTAAATTTAAAAAATAACTTTTTGACAAATCAAATAAAAAAAATTTCAAGCAATATTTTATTAAAAAAATTTATCCACCGTGTCAGATTGTCTTTCCCTTAACTGTTTGAATAGATGGTCTTGTGTTGTCTCACTTGCCTGAAGGCCCAACTGCTCATTTTAGGATGAGTAGCGTCCGTCTGCGTAAAGAAATAAAGGTGAGTGTATTCTAGGGACCATACTTGTCTTGCTTATATAACTAGCTTAGGCTTAACATCCAAGACAATGTTCTGTGTCGTTCCAGCGAAAAGGAAAAGGCCCTACAGAACACCAGCCAGAAATACTCCTGAACAACTTTACAACGCGATTAGGCCACTCCATCGGTCGCATGTTTGCATCTCTGTTCCCCCATGATCCTCAGTTTGTCGGTAGACAAGTAGCTACATTTCATAATCAGCGTGACTACATTTTTTTCAGATTCCACAGGTGAGTCTTCAAAAATTGCTTTCACAAGCTATGAAAAAAAATTGTGTAACCACAACTTTTCCTAATATTTGTTGCTTGGTCTCTTTTAAAGGTATATCTTCAAAAATGAGAAAAAAGTGGCAATTCAAGAACTGGGTCCCCGCTTTACTTTGAAATTAAGGTCTCTTCAAAAGGGAACGTTTGATTCTAAGTTTGGAGAATATGAATGGATTCACAAGGTATTGCATTTCGGTAGTTTTCTAACACTGCAAATCTTCTCTGTAAGCAGTAGTAAGTCTAGAGTTTACTTGCAGTTCACAGTGTGTAAATGTTCAACCACTAATTTTGTTACATAAAAAACATTTCACTGAATTTGGTGTAATGGTGGAATTCCTTATAAACTTGACAACATCTACCTGTAGCCATCTCTCATTTGAATTAGTGAGCCTGTAATCTTTCAGGTGTTGCTGAAGTATAACTAGGAATTTGCACATTCAAATCACTCTTGCTTTTTGGTGGGGCTTGTTCCTTATACAGACCATCCTGTGATACACAGGGTATCTTAGAGAATATAAACAAATGAATTACCCAAGCATAATTCTCTCTTTAGTAACTATGAACCTGCCTCTAAGCAGATGTAGAATAAACTGGGATTATTGGGCCCTGACCTTGTGTCACATCTGTGCTACAGGTCAAGGGGACTCCCATTGTCCTTCTCCCTCTACCCTAGGGAGGGTAAGTGAGCAGATTCCTTGCAGTTTTGTGTGCAGTGGGGGTCGTGGGAAGCTGAGCACAATTTCAAGGACCCTGCCTCCCTATTTTCCAGCTACAAATTTGAACCTGGACCTCATTTGGATTGCAGAGGTGCTATGTAACCTCCCCACCTATCCCATGTTCAAGTAGGAGAGGGAGATGAGGCTTTGCTTGTTCCCTCACAGACTAGTTGCTAGGGTACTCCTCCATGTTTTTGGACTGCAATTCCCAGAATTCTCTAAAGTATTCTAGGAATTTCCACCTTCAGAACCTAAATCCACACACCTTCAGAGATGGGTTTGCACCTTTGGCTTCTCAGGCCTTTGAGAACACTACTGTTTCCTGTAGTGTAGTAAAGAAGGAAGCTGTTTTGGTGTTTCCTTGGAGTCATAGTTTTTGTTTGTTTGTTTTTTGGAGGCACCTGGTATGGGGCCTAATGGGCAGCAAGACTTCACCTTCCCAGAAGCACAGTGGCAGCTTCCTTCAAAAACAATCAGCAACAGGAAGCATAAGCTGGAAAAGCCAATGGCACAGACTAGAGATGGGCTTGAACTGCCAAACAGGTGGTTCATGCTGGCTTGTTTTTTAGCTGAAGAAGGTATTTGGCACTTCCAGCCCCAGATCCAGTGGGAACACTGGTAGCACCTGGAGGAGGCAGCACCTGGAGGAGGCAGTGCAAGGAAGCTGGAGTGCTGTCTTCAAGTGGGTGCCCGCCAGAGAAGGCAGGGCTGCGAAGCACTGAACACTGTTTAGCTGAAGAATGAATCAGCAAGAACCACTGGTATGGTGGTTTGTGCCCATCTTGAGTGCGAATAACCTAAAAGCTCATCCCTGGTGGTGTGAAACCTATAGGTGTGCTGATTTGGGTTTGTGGACTGCTATTCCCAGAATCTTTGGAGAATGCCGTCCAGAACCACTTAAGAGCACACCCATACTAGCTGCCATGAGAAAATAGTAAGTGGAATTTGGCCTAATTTTTAGGTGAGTTCTGAGTTACAAAATACTATGCCATATCATGACTTTTGATTTGACTAAATACAATTACAGATTTTAGTATTAAAGAATTTCAGAAATGTTTTCGTGGCTGACAGGCATGTTGTTTTCTTTTTTTCCCCACTATTAAAATGTGTTTTTCCCCCTCCATTTTGTGCCAAACATTAATAAATACTTTGTCTTTCAGCGCCGTGAAATGGACACCAGTCGAAGAAAATTCCACCTATAAAAGCAGACTAAGAAGGCAGAACAGCTAGATGTTTTTCTGCTAACAAAAACATAGGGGCTGGGATGGTGACATTCAGTGTTTTCCATCAGACTTAATATATGGATAGATGGATGCCTGTCTCCTTCAGTGTTTTGGGTATCTTTCTGATTGTGCTATTTACAAAAGCAGAAGACTTCAAGTTATACAGCAAGAAACTTCGTCATCTGCTCCCTGCTCACCCAAAGATGTTGAGAATTTTTTTCTCAGAAATAGTGCAGGGTTAAGGACTTTTTGTGTGTGTGTGTTTTTGTAGTAATTTTTGAACATTACTGCCCTGTAATTCTCAGTCAAACCATTTTAGGACTAAAATTTGCTGATACTTGTTATGATGTTAAACAATTTAATTACAACCTGTCATTTTATCTATATCAGTTGTCAAAACTAAATATTTCTATGATTTTCCATCCTAGCTAATTTGCAAGAGTTGTCTTACATTTTAAAATAAGATGCCCATCTATGAGCTTTAAATGGTCAACTATTTGGGACAGTAGGGAAACAAAAGTAAAGCAGGGTTTGAGGTCTAGTCTTAAATCTGCACAAATATGTAATTTTTATTTTTATTATTGGTGCCATAGCATTGCTGTCCCCCCAGAGATTCTATGGCTGAGTGGTAATTTGAACGCAGGTCTCTTGAGTTCAGGATCATCACTGGGTTGATGACATCACAGTGGCTGTGGAGAAAACTCAAGCCACACACACAAATATTCATAGAAGGGTTCACTCACCACACACACATAAAAGTACACCCTCTTTAAATTCTATGGTTTCACATTTCAGGACATAATAAAAATCATCTGGTTCTTAGCAGGTCTGAAAATTAGGTAAATAACAACCTCAGATGAACAATAGCACATGGCATATTACACTGTGCCATGATTTATTTTACAGAAATAAAACCAAAATGGAGAAGCCATGTGTGAAAAACTTAAGTACTTCTTATGGTTCAATAGCTTGTAGAACCACCTTTAAGCAGCAATGTCTTGAAGTAAACTTTTTCTGTACGACTATCAGTCTCTCACATCCTTGTGGAGGAATTTGACATACTCTTTTTTACAATGTTGGTTCAGTTCATTTATGCACAGCTCTCGTAAGGTCCTGCTACAACGTTTCAGTTGGGTTAAAGTCTGGACTTTGACTGGGCCATTGCAACACCTTGACTCTTTCCTTTCTCAGCCATTCTGTTGTAGATTTGTTGGTGTGTTTGGGATCATTGTCCCATTACATGATCCAGTTTCGGCTCTGTTTTAGCTGTTGGACAGATAGCCTAACATTTGACTCTAGAATACTTTGGTATACAGAAGAGTTCACTGTAGACTCAATGACTGCAAGGTGCCCATGTCCTGGGGCTGCAAAACAAGCCCAAATCATCATCTCTCCACCAACATGTTTCACAGTTGCCATGAGATGTTTGGTTTTTGCCAAACATGGTGCTGTGCATTATGGCCAAACATCTCCACTTTGGTCTTGTCTGTCCACAGGTCATTAGTCCAGAAATCTTGTGGTTTATTCAGATGCAACTTTGCAAACCTAAGCTGTACTGCCATCTTTTTTAGAGAGAAGGGGCTTTCTAGGGGCAACCCTTCCAAACAAACCAAACCTGTTCAATCTTTTTCTAATTGTATTGTCATGAACTTTAATATTTCACATCCTAACTGAGGCCTGTAGAATCTGAGATGTAACTCTTGGGTTTTGTGCAATTTCTCTGAAAAGTGGCTGGTCTTTGACCGTAATAAAGTTCTATTTAGCTATCTATCTGAAAAGTGCACAGTCTGACCTTGCGGTCAATTTCTTAGATGCCCGTTCCTGGGAAGATGGGCAACTGTCTTGACTGATTTCCACCTGTTAATTATCTTGCTCACTGTGGAATGATTAAGTTGTTTGAAAATGGCCTTATATCCCTTCCCAGATTGATAGACAGCAACAATTGCTTCTCTGCTGATGTGCTTCCTCATTGGTGTTGTGTGAACATACACACAAATGCTTCAGAGCAGCAAATTGCTAAAACTTCGGTTTTCGTAGAGGGGTTCAGAGCAGCAAATTGCTAAAACTTCGGTCACACTTGCTGATGATTATTTACTCCGGAGCATTTGGTAAGCTGCACCGTCACACTTGCTGATGATCAATTACTCCAGAGCATTTGGTAAGCTGCACTGGGCTGCTACTTAGCCTCTTAATTCCTATGAAGCAGTAAGGGTGTACAGTACTTGGTTTTTCAGACATGGCTTCTTTATTTTGGCATTATTTTTGTTAAATAAATCATGGCACTGTGCAGACAGTACTTGGTTTTTCAGACATGGCTTCTCTATTTTGGCATTATTTCTGTTAAATAAATCATGGCACTGTGCAATACATCATTTGCTGTAGTTCATCTGAGGTATTTATCTAATTTTCAGATCAGCTGAGGACCAGATGATTTTTCATTATGTCCTGATATGAAAAATCATAGAATACAAAGAGGGTGTACTTTCTCTTTCACATGACTCTGTGTGTGTATGTATATATATAGGCCCTTTCTATTAATCATGCTGTATTTTAAGTTAACAGTGGATAATATTCAGACTTGCATCATGTTTAGAAATATGGTTTTGCTAGCAGCTGCCTCTGGCATGTACGTTACATATCAATAGCTTTCTTATAAAACATCCATTGAAAAGGAAGAATTTCACTGAAGGCTACATTTGAAAACAAGATATGATAGGCCATATTTAGACTTCAGGTCCTGCTCACGTATGAGATGGACAGTACTGTCATCCTTCAGTAATATCCATCACATCTCTCTCTATTCAGGATCTTAAACCACATCTTTGGTCAGCAAAGTAGGCAATATTACAATACAGTGGTGCCTCGCTGAACAGGCGCCCTGTTTAACGACGAAATCGCATACCGACAAACTTTTTGCAAACTTTTTGCATTGCGATGTTTTAAATGGGAAATCGCTTTGCGATGATTGGTACCCTGTTTCGCTTACCGATTATCGCAAAGCGATGATTTCCCCCCAGCTGATCGGCGGTTCCAAAATGGCCGCTGGGTAAAAAAAATGGCCACCCACTGTGTTTAGGGACGGATTCCTCGTTTACCGGGCAGCGAAAATGGCTGCCGTATGGAGGATCTTCGCTTTACGGTGAGGTTTAAGCCCATAGGAACGCAGTGAAGGGGGTTCAATGCATTCCTATGGGCTTTTAAAAATCACGTAGCGACAAAATCGCTTTGCAGCGATTTTTGCTGCACCGATTAACGTTGCTATGCAAGGCACCACTGTACTGTATTTAACTTCATTAGCCAAGTAAGAAGCTCTGGTGCCACAGCCGCTCTGTGAAAACATCCTTTATTCAAGCTGTAAAACTCTGTGCTAAAATTCAAAGCCATTAAGTCAACTCTTTATTGTTTGAATATAAAATTGGTTCCCTCATGATACAGAAGTTATGCAACTAGCATACAATTTGTTTAGAGAGGTAGACTGTAAGAGTTTTGACAACAGTAGCAGTATTACTAGCTCTAAGTTGGCACATTAACACAAACTTCCTGTACAGGGTCCAAGACACCCTCCTTCACTTTCATATCCATCATATGCTTCAACAGTTAGGAAAAATTGTTAGAAGATCTGAAAAAGAGACACATGAAAAGAAATAAACTTACTAAAGATACACATGATATCTCCAAGATGAGTATCAAATTTGAGAGAACTGTTTCCAGTACAGTACTAGACCTAACTCATTGAACTGGATTCTTAGAGTAGCTGATGATAAACAGAACAAACAACCAAAAGACAAAAATACTCTGAATAGAGCAGCCCCCTCTCATTACTCAGCACAAAGCTTTTAAGGTTAAAATGGAGTTTATCAGCTGGCTTGTCTTACATATAGAGTTTCTGCAGCACAACAGAAGAGTGTAAAATACAGTTCCATCTGTATCTCAAAAGCAAATCTGACTTTGTGAAACTACAATTTTAATTTTGTAGATATGGGGCTGCTCTCCTTTCCAAAAACAAAAGTCAAGCAATTAACACAAAGACTTACCATGAAAAGATCACATCTATTTCACCGTATTAGAGAAATGAACAGACTTTCTGTGGTTTAAATGGATTTATACTTGAAGAGACGCCTGTTAGCAAAGGATCATGGTGTGCATTTTGCAAACAAAACTGCTTTAAGTCAGCTGCAGCTTGTGAAACCTGAAAAGAGAAATCACCTTTACATGACTTGACAGTACATTAAATTGATCAGATTGTAAAGTACTGCAAATCCGTCAAAAAGACAAATCCCATCCTGCATTGTGTGTTAGCGAATGACTATAATAACTAGCTGATGGAGATTCTCCATCAACCTAGCAGAGGATCTGAAAATACCATTGCCAAACTTAACCCCCCTTGCCCTCAGAAGATTGTCATGGACTATGTTTTGCATCAGGAGGAATTCTGACCTTGCATCTTCTCTAAGGACACAGCTCAGGGAAAACCAAGTCTTCACTGAATTCACTGCAAACTATTACTTCAGGGGTGGAAGGGGAGAGAATGGCTCTAACATTTTGACCAATATCCTATTGCTTAGTGTAGTAAATTGCACTAGAGTAGGCTCAATGGGGATTTGGGCCTTCCATATACTTTATGTTCTTTCATTAATGGTCTTCATGTGGTGAAGACAAGAATAGGACACATGAACTGACACCACCATGTGTTAGTCCACTGTAGACAAATTAACAAACTCCATTGATTCAAATGGGCTTAATTCCAGCTACAACTTTAGTACATAAAGTTAAAATTAGAATAAGCCTATTTGAATCAACTGAAACTAGGGAGGAGTGGACTCCCCACTGAGTCAACTGGTCAACTCTAGTGCAATTTACTACAATAAGCAATAGCATTCTGGCCAATATTTAATCCAGGCTGTGATGGGGCAATCTGCCCCCATCATGATTTCCCCATCCTTCACCTGGTCCTGTACCTGCCTCACTACTAGCAAGCCTAAAAATGTACAGGATCCTTCAACACTATGACAATGAAATGTGAATTAACGGGAAATGTTATGGACTCAGGAGCTTTTAATATCAATCACTTCCATAACTTGGAGACGGAAAATAGTAGAATATTTATTGAATGAAATCCAGTAGTAAGTTGCAACTACAGTAGATCCATCGAATCAATGGAACTGACACAGGACCTGGCTCATCCAATCCCCACTAATTCAATGGGTCTACTTCTAGGAATGACTTACTATTGGATTTCTGCCATTGTCTCAGGAGTGCAAAAATACATTTCATTATCAAAGCTAAATATGTTGTGCTGAACATCCCAAACCAAGGAAAGGACAGGTGCCCTAGGGCACACTATTTGAGAAATCTTGTTTCCATAGGATATAGGTAGCTTGTGACTATGATGCCTTCCCAGATTTTGGAGTGAGATGCTCCCTATTATGTCAAGAGATCCCAAATAATTGAGTTTTATGGAAAAGCCTGCAAAAGTACAAAAGGGTGCCTATGAATATTTGTTAACTTGTTTAAACGGAATTGTCTGTGAGTTAGCAGATCCTACCTCAAAATAACTTTGCTGTGTGCCTTTATAGAAGATATTTCACAACTGGATGAGTGAAAAAGAGCTCTGAGATCTACCAATGAATTTCTGGATAATCTGCATTATCTCAGCAAGAAATGATCCCGACCCTTTCACAATAGTAACAACCACTGAAGCTTCTCCTACATCATGCATTATACTTCATGAAAGGAGGAATGGTGAGTCAGGGAGGATATTTTTATGTAGGAACATAAAGAGATGTGTTTAATGCGTCTGCTCAATTTCCGGGCTCAGAATTCTTTAATTTTAAGCATATGTTTTTTGCCTCAGGCTCCAGCTGGGCAGATCTTGGTAACTACAGTACTGTAAAACTTTGAAAGCAGACCCCTCACGCTTAAATCCACCCATCGCTGAGCAGCTTGGATGCGTGTGTAGGTATCTGAGTGAGAGGCGCCGAGGGCTGCGAGCTCTGAAGGAAACCGCTACCAAAGGATAGTTATTAATCTCTCTTCTTCCTTCTGAAGGCCGAGCACGAAACCCGCGAACTCGACTGGAAGTGCCTTCAAACCCGAGGCAACGGCTCGCCAGGTTTCTTTGGGCCTTGGCCCATTTTGCCCCGTTTTGCGGCCAGGGCGGGCTCCCAAGCCCGGGTCACCAAGCGGGGATTTTGCCTTTCCCTTCCCTCGTCTCCAGAGCGAGCCGGATCCCAAAAGCCCATGGAGACCCGCACCCTTCGTGATCCGCCTTTGGAGAGGAAGCCAGGATGAGTCCAAGAAGGGCAACTCTAACGGGTACCGGGGGCTCGGAAGGAGGGGAAGGGCCGTGAAGCGGAGAAGATCCGCGGCTCCTCGGAGGAGACCCGGACCCGCCCAAAGGCGCTTTCCCTCACGTCCAGCTCCTTGAGAGCTGTCTGTATGTTGGCTGCCCCGGGGCAGCTGGCTGGCACTCTGCACATGGGCAAGAGCCCTCCTGCCCCACTCCCCTCCGCGTCCGAGAGGAGGGAGGCCCTGAGACGCCAGCAGCCCCACGACGGGCCGGCGCGCCACAGCCTCCCGGGGATGGGGGGGTAGGTGGGTGCCCCCATGAAGCGCTCTCCCCACCCAGAGGGCGCGGCGCAACCGACCGCCGAGCCGCTCGCTCGCCCGCTCGCCTCCGCCGCCCTCGTTCCTCCTCCTCCGCCGCCGCCGGATCTCACCTTCACGCGGCTCACGCTGGCCTCGAGGCGCAGCTGCTGCACCACCTTCCTCATGGCCGCGACGTTAGAGGACCCCGACATGGCCCTCCTCTCTCACACACACATACACACACACAAACCGACACAGAGAAAGAGAGACGCCGAGCGGCCGCCGCCTTGTTGCTGAGGGCTGCGAGGGCGGGCGGCTTCTCGCAACTTTCGAGCAAGTTTCCGGCCCTCGGCCAACTCTCCCGCCCCTAGACTCGTAATGGCGGGACTCGCCCCAGGAGGGCGCTGGCGGGCGCCCCCG